TAACCCTAAACCTAACCCTAAACCTAACCCTAAACCTAACCCTAACCCTAAACCTAACCCTAAACCTAACCCTAAACCTTACCTTAAATTAAATCACGCTTCTGTCAGCGCACTTTTGACATCGCGGTTTTAGAGTCAAAGACTTTTAGAGTCAAAGTCAAGACTTGCCTTCTCTGTTTGCTTCATTCACACAAGTTTGTATCCCTGTAGGGAGAAGGGACACACACAAATAGAACTGGTGTATCTAACGAAACCTCAGTTTGCAAGCCACATTAGCCTCAGATTGTTTCTGACCCTAATGCGAAATAGATATTTTTGTTTCTGTGCACATTAATCTCACCCTTGACCTAGTTATATATGAACAGAGCGTTGTAGTAAAATGAGATCTATGTAAGCTGCCATTCGACCAAACATTCGCTTGTGGTCATCCAGGATTTCATTCTAACCTTTGCTATCCAATCTTTGCTGTCCATACTCCAACACTATCTTGAAGACTAGCATCACAGCTTGATTTAGGGCTGTGTACTGCTTCAGACTGGATCTCTAAGAAATGTTTGAAGCCCATTGGAATGAAAAGATAGCTCTAATCTTAAAGAGATTCACTTTTTCCTAGAATTTCTCTCCTCTATAACTACATGAATGGCACGTCAGTTTCACTGGAAATTGAGAAGGCAATATGACCTTTGTAGAGCAAATGTTTATATCCTATTCTTCTAACTATAAATAAAAAACAATCTTCAAATAGGAAAGAGGAAAATTAAACAATATCCTTTTCCCCTTCAGGAAAACAGGCAAAAGAAGAGCTAGCATGAAGCCATGTAAACTAGATGAAAAGATTAAACCCAGATTTAACAATTTTCTATTACATCAGCACTGTAACCATTTAATGACTGTGCCTTTATAAGATGCTATTATGGAATTGGTCACGAATCCTCTGTAATGTAGCCATACTGCACCTCAATGAGATGGGTCATGTCACAGAGGTGACATGATCTTTGCCTCTTTGAATGGTAGCAATGAGATCATTCAAACCGATGGGTTGGCTTTTTTTCCTTCCTCATTTCCAAGGCCTTCCCTTCTATTTCCAGAAACTAGAAAAGATTTATGTTGTGTATTTTTCGGAGTATAAAACACACCCTTTTCCCTCAAAAAAGAGGGTAAAAATCTAGGTGCGTCTTATACACTGAATACAACATTTTTGGCCTTCCAAAAATCCCATCCCCTTTGCAAAAATGGCTGTGCATAGCCTTTAGGAGGCTTCCAGAGTGCTCCTGGGGGCTGGGGAGGGCAAAAATGAGGGGAAAATGGGCCAGTTTTTACTTGTTTTTGCCCCTCCCTCAAGAGCACTCTACAAGCCTCCTAAAGGCTATGCATGTCCTTTTTTGACATAAAATGGGCCCATTTTAGTGAAAAATGGGCCATTTTGGGGAGGTCTGGAAAAACGTTTTTTATAATTTGCCTCTTCAAAATCTTGGTGCATCTTATACTCTGGTGCATCTTATACACTGACAAATATGGTACATAAACTTCTTTGGGCTACTGAGTATGCTGGAGAAAACCCAGAAAGGATGTCAGGCAATGCCCCAACTTGTATTGGAGAAAATTGTTTGGTTACCAAATTGGAAGACCAGAAACATAGCTCCTGTATTTATTGAGTCAATCTTCTATCCCAGTATTCTCCACCTGTAAGCCTGACTAATCCAAGTCTAATTTAAAGGTCGATAGGAAAGGAAATATGAACCAAATTAAGAATTAGCTGGAAGTGGAGCAAGCAACCACACAGGTTAGCTGGCTGCTTGCTTGCTGGCTTCTGTATAGGTAATCCTTGATTTACAATTGAGCCCAATATTTTTGTTGCTAAGCAAGACAGTTGTTAAGTGAGTTTTGTCCTATTTTATGACTTGCCACAGTTGTTAAATTAGGAACATGGTTATTTGCTTGTCAGAAGGTCACAAAAGATGATTACATGCCCAGGACACTGTACCTGCCATAAATACGTGCCAGTTGCCAAGTGCCCAAATTTTGATCATGTGAACATGGGTATGGTGAAACAGTTGTAAGTGTGAAAAATAGTCATAAGTCATTTTTTCAGTGCCATTGTAACTTTGAACGGCACTAAATGAATAGTTGTAAGTAGAGTACATTTAATGCATTTCTATTAAATTTTAATTGTTTGTAAATTAACAACAATTGTATATAACAGAGTTTTCTGAAAATTTATATTTGGTTTTTTTCAGGCTTCTTTGTTCTTTTTTACCGTCATTAAATGATCACCATTTTACCCCTTAACAAAAAAGAGAAAACTTCTTATTCATGCCTATGTAGAAGTGCAATGCTGGGTTAGTGTGTCAGAAGAATTACAAACCAATTGTAAGAAGACTCTTCCTTTTTTCGCATCTCTGTTTGCAAACAAAAAATAAATAAAGAGGCTAAAGCTTGGTAATCTAATTTGCTTCTGGGCAAATTCAAAGTGCTAATAAATATTTATTTAAGCCCCAAAAGGCTTGGATCTGAATCAGTTAATAGAGTGCCTTCAGCTGCCTGATCCCAACTGTTCAGTAAAGTCATCTGGAGAATTCGGTTACAGCTGCCACAGATCATCAGATGGTGGTTTAGCCTTCTGTAGTGACTCCTTATTTAGATAAGTGGACTGATACCTTGGGTTTTCTTTAAGATGGTCATTGACATTACATTTTGTTTTCAGGCTGTCAACCGATGTTTTTTTAAAAAAATATTTTGATAAATTAATCTGTTATATGTTTTAAATGTGTGTGTGTGTATGTATGTATGTATGTATGTATGTATGTATGTATGTATGTATGTATGNTGCTCTAGGAATGGTGCCTCTGTTGTTTTTCCTTTTGGAAACACTTGCAATTTATCATCAATTTTGTTTCCTTCCTTGACTGAAAGGTGTTTCTGTGTGTTTGGTTTCAGCCTAAAAGACCAAAGAAACCTGAATTCCTTCTTTGCCGTGATGTTTGGCCTGAGCCACTCTGCCATCAGCCGCCTTTCTAGGACTTGGGAGGTACATTTCTACTCTCCAGAGAAGGGGAAACAGTTGAATTAACATGCTTGGTCTGAAACTATTATCCTACATTAACTTGAACTGTGTTCTGAAGAGCAGTTTGTTGTATCTTCCAATATCACACTTAGCACTTTGAAAGACTCTTCCCAGATCTTTTATCATTTTTATGGGGTCCTGATTAAAGAAATGAAGGGATGTAAAATAGCAAACACAGTCTGATTGTATGTGTTCATGGGATATGAGGATAATCTGACTGTAAAAAACTATCTCTCCGTTGATTGCTAAGGTTGATTCAGCTGAACTGGTTGGTTAGGTGGGTGTCTTCTTAATCTCTCACACTCACCCCCTGTGTGTATCCCTCTTGAAGCTGTGCTTAGTTCCCAAATTGATGGAGTACAGTATACTGATCAAGGACATGTGTACTTTGTGTAGCCATAATAATGAGTTTGGGATCAAAGAGGCAGACCTGAAAAGCATTATCATGTGTACAAGATCTTCTTGGGATGGAAGTTCATTAGCAGGCTTTAACAATCAGTTACTGGGTAAGAAGTCAAGGATAGTAGCAAAATTAAAGGACTTAATAAAGGAACATGTTTTCCAGTATCTCAAATAGATAAGGAATGCCCAGAAAGGAGAATCTGGGCTTTTCCCCATTGGCATTTATGTATTTACTTATTTATTTGCCACCCATCTTCCAGGCAATTCCTTTCAAAGAAGTTAGATTCTTAGAAACCAGGAAGAGGGTAATGAGCCATAGAATTCCAGTACAGGAAAACATCTGCATATTAAGAGTTTCATATTTGATGCAGTGAATCAAACCAAGTTGACGTCATAAAACAATGGATAAATCAAGTATTAATACATCCTTTTAAAACTGTGTCTTTACCAAATCCTGCAATATGTCCATTTATGGACAAGAGAGAGATGTGGTGTCAAAAACTGCAAACACTGTTGCAGCTGTATAATTTGTCAGCCCCAAGCTGAAGTAGATTTGGCTCAAGATGGGTCCAAATGAGTATTTTAGGGGGAGTTGGAAGGCAGATGACTCTGAACTGGGTTGTCGAACTGGGTTGTGGTAACTCTTGGAGTACTATGGAACCATATAAATACATGGGGAAGATATCTCTTTGTGGCAAAGTTGATACAGAAGAGTGTACTTTGCAATAATTGCAATTAAAACAGTGTTTTAAAAGAGGAAACTATAAAACCAAGTTGTGATTTTCATTTAAAAAATAATTTGCAAAGCAGAACATTGGATATGTGTGAACACTGAAACATTGGGAATTTATATGACTGCCTAGCCTATATTGTAACCCTGGATGGTTTGCGTGGCACGACAAAACCGCGCTCGACTAAACCGCGCCCGATTAAACCGCGTCGCTGACGTCATCAACAGGGCGA